TTATTATTTTATTTTATTTTATTTTCAGATTCAAGTTTCATTTCTCCCACTTCAAAGTATACACTAAAATCACAATTACCCAAAGGTTGGGACACAAATATGGATGCTCGGGCCCCACCTGAGTCAGTATCCCTGAGGCCACAGCCCAAAAACCTACATTTTTTTTTTTTTAAGATTTCACTTATTTATTTGAGAGAGAGAGAACACAAACAGAGGGAGCTGCAGGCAGAGGGAGAAACAGGCTCCCTGCCAAGCAAGGATCCCAATGCAGAACTCGATCCCAGGACCCTGGGATCATGACCTGAGCAGAAGGCAGATGCTTAACCGACTGAGCCACCCAGAACCTACATGTTTAATCAGCCCCAGGAGATTCTTGTGCAGACTAAAACTACTCACCGCCATATTTGATACCAAACCCTCAAGAGAGAAGACCAACTGCTATGTATCTCTATATCTCTAACACCCAACTCCATGCCTAGCCAATTTTAGTACACGTGCCGCTGAAGCGAGCACTCCATGCCTAGCCAAGAATGGACGCTTGACCACAGAATGTATTGATCCAAACTCATAAACTCTTTCCTTTTCAACAGGTCTTAAAAAAAAGGCAAGGACCGCATCACATAGGAATCTGTCCACCCCAGCCTACTTTCTATAAAACGATCCACTCAGTTTCCCTGGAGCCTCTCCTGAGATGGATCTGCCCAAACTGTCAACTCCCAAGACGAGAAAGGAAGATTGTTCCAATGGTACCAGGAATTACAGCTTCTGGCATGGTGGCCACTATCTGTCCTTCCTTCTGAGCCTGCCACATTAGCAAGTGCTAGAAGGAGGTGGCTTTATCTTCTCAACATGAAACATCTCCTTTTGGAAACCTTAACCCAGTGTCCTCAACCTTTACGGCAGAATCACCTAGGAGCTTGCTCAGAAGTGCATGTTCCTAGGTGAGTTTTACCCTGAGATAAGTACCTGTGGGGTGGGATTTGGGGCACTGAGCTGTCCACGCAGCATCCTTGGCCCCAGATGATTTTGAGGCTGAGGACCACTGACCCCTAGAGAAAGTCCTCTTTAAACCTAGTCCTCAAAGAGCTCTCTCAACTCCCTCTCCTTAAAAGGGGGGAAAGGCTGTGGCTACTTAACTCGGTCTGATTTGGGGGTGGGGGAGAGTTGATGGAGGCTGGGGCTGTGAGCTGGCAGGGGGGAGGAGGGAAGCGTCTGCTTGGCAAATGTAGCCAGTAGTATACTTGGTTGTGCATGTGAGACTTACTCTGAAAGTCTTCCCCTAAGACTTCCCTCCAAGAATTTGGAGACCCTCCCGCAACCTGAAGGAGTAGAGGAAACTCGGATTGCCTAGGAAAATAACGCTCAGTGCTAAGTGTTCCCTAGGATCTTACTCGCTCTCCACAGCCTACGTAGACCCCACTCCCTACGTCCAGGCAGAATTCATTGTTCGCTGGGGCTTTTAGCCCTTTTCCTGGATTAAAGCACTTACCTGGCATTAAAGCTAATTGTTGTAGGTCTTTTCCCCAGACATCCTTTGCTCCTGAAGGCTGATTGGTATTTTCTTATCTCTGTACCACCCCGGCTGGCCCTGAGATGCTGCTCAAATAAAGTTTACAGGTGGGTGGACTGCAGATAAGGGCCCCCCTGGCCTCTGGGATGTGCTTCTTTGACGGAACTGCACCAGGGAGGTGTGAGCTTTGCAGGCTGGCCTGGCCCTTGTCATAGCTTTGCTTCTCTTTGACTCATTTTCCAGAATTATGTCACTGCCAACAAATCTGCATGCAAAAACTACAGAGACAAGTCATTTCCCCTAAAAGACATTGCCAGTTAACCTTGAAGCCCGTGTTGTTTTGCAGGTGCAGAGATATACACACACCCATACATATATAATCTGATTACGATGCATTTCACCTTGTGATGTTCCGTGTGCTGTGGCTTCCAGCCTTACAAAAGCCATAAAAACTAAATATTTTTACAGCAGTTTTTCTGATCTTGAAAGAAGACGCTGTGCGTTTAGCCTTGGTATACAGCAAAGCATCACGTTATACATTAAAGTAACCCAAACCCCTGCCACACTCTGACTTTCTGATTTGGGGAGTGTGTGGATTTTTCTGAAGATTTAAAGCATCATTTTCTGCTCCTTGGGCCCCAATTTTCGGGAGAGCCCTCTGATCACCTCTTGGCCTTGCCCCACTTTCAATCCATTCTCACCCCGCTTCCACGGAGATTTTCTGGGAACCCCTGACCTGTTATTCATCTCCCTCCAGGAGGAAGTTCAACTTCCATTTTGCTTTGGCTTCCAAAGCCTTTTTTACCTCTTCCTAGAGCTCTACTCTGCAAAACGTCCCTTCTTGTTCCAGCTCTACTATACTGCCAACCGCTCTGAACCAGGCTCTTCACCCAAGCTTGGCTTCTGCTGTTCCCTCTGCCCGGAATGTCGACTTCCCCTTGGCCTCTTGAAAGCCCACTTATCTCTCGGATCCCACTGGAGTGCCGACTGCAGCTCAGTGGATGGGATCAAAACCTGGCTCCACCATTTACCTTCTGTAGGACCATGAGCAAGGCACTCAACCATTCTGAGCCTCAGCTTGCTCACCTTCAAAATGAAGATTCAATCAAAGGATGTCTAAAAGAAGAGCAAATAAAAGCCTCAGACAATGATTTTCAGCCCTCAACTTAATCCTGAACCCCTCTCCCATCCCTTCTCATCCAGAGCTGAGAACACACTGAATTACGAGAGCTGAGGGTCCTGTTGATTATCACCCCCAATAGACCAGGAGGCCTTAGAGGTCAAGGGGCCCCATCTTAGACATGGCTAGCACACAGCTGCTACACAGTGGATATTGGATGAGGGGTGTAATTTATCTCCTCATTCACAATCAGATCCGCATAGTTCATAGGTCAGTTGCCTCTGAGAAGTGGTGTCAAAATAAAGGAACAGAGAAGTCAGAACCAGCTAATCTTGAACCCTAGCCATGTGATATTACACGTTTTTATTTCCCAATCTGGAAAGTGAGGATGGTAATGGCCCTATGGAAATAACATTGTGCGGTTGCTCAAATTAAGTTCGCTAATGTGGGTGAATGTGCCATTAGCATTATTTGGATGTCATCAAGCTTTTAGTTTGGGTTCTTCCAGCCTTGGCAAGTACTGGCCAGGTGACTATCTGAGCTGAGTGGTTTTAAAGGTCTTGGGAACTGTGGCTCAACTGTGTCACAACTGAGGGCCACCCTGTGACTTTCATGGGGCTCTAGGCAATATTGTTTTTGTGGACCCCTTCCTCCATAAAATGATAACAAAATAATTATATTTTATGACTGCACTATAAGGAAGGATATAACCCAGGCTGCATTCATTATTTCATGTTGCTTATCATTATATTCATTTTATTCTCCTGATTTTAAAGATTATTTATTTACTTGGGAGAGAGAGAGAGCACAAGCTGGGGGGGGGGTAAGGGTAGTGAGAGAGGGAGAAGCAGACTCCCCGCTGAGCAGGGAGCCCAACAAGGGGCACATCCCAGGACCGCGGCATCATGACCTGAGCCGAAGGCAGATGCTTAACCGACTGAGCCATGCAGGCGCCCCTCTTCTTCTGATTTTAAAAGAATATAAGTTGAAACATTTTTGTGAGCCCCCAAAGTTACTGTGGGCCCCAGGCATTGTACCTCCTGTGCCTCTGCCTGATGGAGATGTCAGCCTGGCTTTAAATCTTTTAAGTCTGGTGTCTTACAAGTGTCAGCTCAAACCAGGCTTTTCCTCCCACTCACTCTTTTCCAGCCACTTCTGGGGTCTTTGCACAAACTTATTCTTCTTTCTGGGACTCTCTCCCCTGCCTCTTTCCCTTATTTGCTTTCCACACATACCTTACAGTAGCTCTCCGATTATCACACACCTCTTACAGCACAGATTGCTGGGGTTTACCCCAGTTTCTGATCCAGCAGCTCTGGGGTGGAACCCAGAATGTACATTTTTTTAAAAAAGATTTTACTCATTTATTTGACAGAGAGAGAGACAGGACAGAGGGAACACAAGTAGGGGAGAGGGAGAAGCAGGCTTCCCACTGAGCACGGAGCCCGATGTGGGGCTCGATCCCACGACCCTGGGATCATGACCTGAGCCGAAGGCAGCCGCTTAACCGACTGAGCCACCCAGGCGCCCCTCCAGAATGTACATTTTTAACAGCACCCAGGTGATGCTCATGCACTGGTCTGAGGACCATACCTGGAGCACAGATGCTTTCGAGCCCCCCCCCCCCATTTCCAGTGTCTCTGGTAAGCCTTCTCTGACGTGGTTCACCCATGTTTCTCCCTCATATACATTTTTTTAAAATTTTATTTATTTATTTGATAGAGAGACAGCGAGAGAGGGAACACAAGCAGGCGGAGCAGGAGAAGGCCCCCCGCTGAGCAGGGAGCCCAATGCTGGGCTCGATACCAGGACCCCAGGACCATGACCCGAGCCGAAGGCAAATGCCTAACAACTGAGCCACCGAGGCGCCCCTCCCTCATATACTCTTAAGGATTAAAGGTCTCTGCTTTATCTATGCAATTCTTTGATCCATGTCTCTCTCTCTCTCTCCCACTTGTCTGTAGGCTCCACTGGTCTTTTGGCTCGCTGTGGTATCTGCATCCTGCTAGCACACAGTAGGTGCTCAGGAAACGTGTAGACTGCTGGTCAGAAGAGTTGAACAAACTTAACCTCCTAGCAACAGTGAATGCGGGTGTCAGAATCCTCTCAGATCACCAGCACTTCCTTCGTACGTTTTTTTCCCACTTCCCTTTTTAACAACGATCAACCTCAGGATTCCTCATTTGCTTCTCCTTCCTGAGGAAGATTAAAGAACTGAGCAGAAACCGCGTTAGGCAACCCTAAACGGCCCGGCCCTAAGCCCCGCCCCCACCCCGCCCCCACGTCTCGCCCCGCCCCGATCCTCCTTTAAGGCCCTAGGCCCCGCCTCATCTCCCGCCTCCTAGGCCCCGCCTCTCCCCCCTCCGCCCCCCCCGCAGCCCCAGGCCGCGGCTGCTCTGCGCATGTCCACCCAGCCGAGCGCTTCTGAGGCCGTCTCCGTCCGGAAACAAACTTTCCCCTGCAGGATGGCACGACCCTGTGCGTCCCCGGAGCCGGTCAGGTAAAGTCTCCCCGGCCCTTGGCGCTCCGAGCAGGGCCTGGCCCGGCCTTGAGCGCAGTACCGGGGCCTTTTGGACGGGACTGTTCTTGCGGAGCCCGCCTGCCTACCTGCCGAGCCTGCGCTCCGTGCGCTTAGCCTCCGGGGACCCGGGGCCTTTGTACCTCCTCCGGCCCAGGCGGGCCCGAGCTTTGGCCCCATGGGCTCACACCCAGCCTCAAAGGTTCGCGCCCCTTCCCCACCGGCAGCGTTTCCCCCTGCCCAGCTGCCTTCCCTCTTCAGCTCAGGGCTTCTCTGGAGTTTGACCCCCAGAAACCACGAGCCCATGCCAGGCAGCTCCGCGTTCAAGGCCCGGGTCTCTCAGTTACCTAACCTTCCTGAGCCTGGACGGGATCACGTCCTCACCTCGCTGGGCTGTTACGAGGCTAGAAAGAGAAAAGTGTGGAAAGTGCGTAGGATGAGCGCATGCTCAGTACAGGGTGGCCGCTAGTGTGGTGTTTTCGTGGTGGTTGTTAGAAGGACCAGCCCCAGATGTGGACAGACACGTTTTTGCAGACTTTTTTTTACTGTCGGTCCCTCTGGTCAGTTCTGGGGGCCTCTCAAAAGTCACACTCAGCCCAATGCGAACTCGGGCGGGCCAGTTTTCTGGACGCGGGCCTGTGTGCATGGGATGTACTCCGGAGTCCCCTCCAGTACCAGCATGCTGTGGTTCTTTTCAGGTGTTTGGTCGTTTTTGACATCCATTGCTGTCACCCAGTCACTTTTAGTGAGCAACCCACCACGTAGAAAGAGGCCCAAAGTAGCAAACACCTCCCGCAAGCCACTGCCCATCTCATGCTGGAGACATTTATGACAGTCCTTACTATTAATGGGGCACTGGCGGACTCCAGTCACAGTATGTGAACAGTGTCATTACGTGCTCACAGATCTCTTCAAGCATGTCACAGACTTGGAGAGGTCACTCCTAAACCCTTTAAAACCAGTTCTGCCTGACTTAAATATCTCATTTTGGCCAGGATGCAAGACTGCCTTTCCCCCAGAAAAATTAAAACCACACTGTTAGTTTCTAGGGCTGCCATAACAAAGTACCACAAACGTGATGGTTTAAAACAACAAATTTATTCTCCCATAGTTCTGAAGGCTGGATGTCTGAAATTTCCTGCCATTTGCAGCTTCTGATGGATGTTGATGTTCCTGAGCTTGTGGCAACATCACTCCTGGCTCTGCCTGTGTCTTCACATTGCCTTCTTCCCTGTGTGTGTGTGTGTGTGTGTCTATAGCCTCTCCTTTTACAAGGACACCAATCATTGGATTTAGAGCCCGGGATGATTTCATCTCAAGATCCATAACTACATCTGCAAAGATACTATTTCCAAATAAAGTCGCATTCTGAGCCTTCTGGGTGACATGAATTTTGGGGGACACTATTTAAACTACTACATGAACCAGCAACAAAATAACGCCAGTCAAAAGGACCAAAACATTCCCAGTAATGAATTCAGGGCACCCAATGTACTTATAAATCCAAATACTTGCATTATCAGTAATGGTCCTCAAAGTGGGTTCCCCTGGTCCACAGCATCAGCATCACCATTGCTTGGGAGTTTGATGCTAACTTCCAGGCCCCACCCCAAACTTACTGAGTCGCAGTTTTGGGGTGGGCCCAGCCCTCTGGGTGAATCTTGCCATTAAAGTTTGGGAACCACTGTTGTAAGGCAACTGAAGACATAAGGGTTTGATAACATAAGGGCCAGGTTAAGAGAAAGTCCTTATGCTGAGAGTTGTCTAACCTCACAATGACTTGTTTACCAAACCTATCTTACTTGAATGTAATTAAAAATTCAACATTTAACTGTTGTGTCGTTGAAAGAATATTTTACCATAATTTCTATTTAAGTTTCAAAGTGAACTTGTGTACTAAACTGTATTCTTAGTAGTTTTTTGCTCATTTTATCTTGCCAACAGTCATGTGATTTGGGTGTTACTGTTTCTGCTCTGTTACTGAAAAATACAATGAGAGTCAGAAATGGTAAGCTCCAAGACACACAATGAAACGGAAACATAGGCAGGACAAGGAGATTTTTATCATAACTCTGGTTACTAAAATGTTTGGTTTGTTTCCATTTTAGAAACAGTTTGATAGATGATGCTAAGGCCCGCTTAAAAAAGCATGATGTTGGGACCAAATATTCTCACTTGTCGTCCAACAAATATTCTGTCCTTTTACCATTGTTGGCAAAAGAAGGAAAACTCCACCTGTTGTTCACCCTCCGGTCAGAGAAGGTAGGTGACAAAAAGGCTCCTGCCATTCAAGTTCCAGGACATTTAAAAACCCCACAAAAATTTGTCAGTTGCACACATCTTGAGGTTATGGATTCTCAAATGGACTTTCAAGATTGTGATGTTCAGGGGTCCAAGAAGCCACAGGATAACATGGCATTTTTTGGAAAGTTTTAGAAAAATAAGTAATTTAGCTAGCAAGTAACTTGAAATACTTTTAGACCGGGGTTTCTTAACCTTGGCGCAATTGGCATTTGGGCTGGATAATTCTTTGCTGTGGGAGCTATTCTGTGTTTAGCATCATCCCTGGGCTTTACCCACTAGGTGCCAGTAATACAGACACAAACACACACACCCCTTTGTGACAACCACAGATGTCTCCAGACATCCCTGTCCTGGCAGGGATGGGGGGGCGCAGTGCCGCTGCCAACAGCCACTGTTTCAGCCTCCCACCCCCACCCCAGGTATAATGTGAAAATTCTAGAGCACAGAAATTAACAGCCTGGGCCCTGAAGCTGGCTGCCGATGTTTGAATGCAGGCTCTCTCCTTGCCAGCTCTGTGACTTTGTCCTAGTTACTTACCCTCTCTGTGCTACGGTCTCTTTACTTGCAAAATGAGGCCAAAATACTAGTGCTGCTTCGTAGGGCTACTGTGAGGATTTCCCAGGGAAACAAATGCAAAGCACCTAAACTGGCCCCAGCACTTGGCAAGGTTTCTGGTCAGTTTTAGCTGCCATCACTGTTGCTGTTACCAGACATCGCCTGAGGTTTTCAGAGAAACCATTCTACTTTAAAGAAATGTTGGGCTGGGGGGCGCCTGGGTGGCTCAGCTGGTTAAGCGACTGCCTTCAGCTCAGGTCATGATCCTGGAGTCCCGGGATCGAGTCCCGCATCGGGCTCCCTGCTCAGTGGAGAGTCTGCTTCGCCCTCTGACCCTCCCCCCTCTCATGTACTCTCTCTATCTCATTCTCTCTCTCAAATAAATAAATAAAATATTTTAAAAATAAAAAAAAAGAAATGTTGGGCTGGGAATGGAGTTCCCCTGGGCACACCCCTGGATACAGTCATTCTCCTTTGCTATTAGGGTGCTTCTGAGGAAAAGTTGGGGAAGCAGTAACTTCAGAGTTATCCCAAGTACAGAAATGAAAATGGGCCATAATAGCATGGCTTTCAAAGCAGAACATCAATGAACAATATCCCCTCAGGGAAAAAGAAAGCCAAGGAATCAGCTGAAGTTTCGTAGGTTTGGGATTAGACTCATGTGGATTCTTCTGGGTCTGGGTTGGGCAACAATCACCTAAACAGGAGGTAAGAAAATGCAGGTTCCAACAGGAGATACCTAACTGGAAACCAGGGGACCTGGGTCTGTTCTCAGCTCTGCCAAAAAGCAGAGGAAAAGCACTTCAGTATTATTTTTCAGACTATCAGATAAATAATAATGTAGACAACTGAGGCAAGACCAAAATGGATCTCTGGTTACTATTTCACCCAGATAGCTTTGCCTGTTGATTGCTATGTGAGAATCATCTTAGACCATAACCGTTGGTGTGCAAAGATCACGTTAAACACACAAAAAAAGAGTATTTAAATCTAATTAGATCTGATTCTATACCTATCTGGCTCTGGGGGCAAGAAATTCCCTCCCAGGCATTCCTGGAGCTGCACCCCTTCCTGGAGTCACACAAGTAGAGTTCATGGCTTTCCTCCCAGTAAATGGGGAAGGGGCACCTGTCTTCAATCCCTCCTGCTTCAGTATGCGCTCTCCTACCAGTTCTGGAACCTAGAGCAAAGTTAGCCCAGGTCATGATCTCAGGGTCCTGAGATCGAGCCCCACGTCCAGCTCCACACTCAGCATGGAATCTGCTTCATATTCTCTCCTTCTCTCTCTGCCCCTCCCCCCCCGCTCACACTCTCTCTTCCTCTCTAAAATAAATAAATAAAATTGTTCATTTTAGGTTATGTAAATTTCACCTCAATTTAAAAAAAAAAAATGCTTTTTAAAAAATAACAGCATGTGGACCTGTTCTGAGGGCTCAGTGGAAAAACTTCTTGTGAAGCAGCATGCCCGAAGCAGGGTAAGCACTCAGTCAAGGCTGTCTATTGATAACATGGCCCTTTTTATTCTACTTCCTTTTGGCTTTTCTCCCCCATCAGCGTAGATCTTGTTTCGTGTGTATGGTATCTTTTAGGGGCAAGTAGAGAAAAATTACAAGTGAAGGAAGTTCTCAAAGGTCATTTTTTTTAAAGGATTCAAGTAAAAACTTTTTTGGGGGGTGGTCTTACTCCCCCCCCCCCCGATTACCACCAGGATGGGAGTGGTCTCTGGCACAAAATAGAAGTTCAGGAACTACTTGTTGAATGAGTGCGTGGTACCAGAATTGAAATCCCATATCGCAGTTCTGTTCTTTTAATATCCAGCTAAGAAGGTCACCTGGAGAAGTTTGCTTCCCTGGAGGCAAGTCTGAACCAGCAGATGTGGATGATGTGGCTACAGCTCTCCGGGAAGCCCAGGAGGAAGTAGGGCTGCATCCTCACCAAGTGGAGGTTGTCTGCTGCCTGCTGCCATATCTGCTTGACGTAAGTGTTCGAGTGGAACTGGCTTACTTACACTGTCACGGCCACCCAATGGACCCATGGTCGTCAGCATCATGCCACGAGTGGCCAAGCATGACCCTTGACAGTGCTGTCCTTAGAGTCAAGAGACTGGCTCTTATGTGGGCTTTGCCCCTTGTGAGCTAACTGGCCTTGGGCAAGCCCCCTTGCCCATCTGGGCCCCCCTTTGCCCATCCAGAAATGAAAGGGTCAAGCTCTATCAGTTGTTTTCAAACTGGATCCTGTAGAACCCTGTAGATGCTTCAGAATTCTTTCTTTAAGATTCAGTTTACATTTATTTTTCGCCAGTATACATTTCTTTTGAGAATTCATTTGAAAAAATACCACACACTTGAGCGTGCTGTGTTCCAAATTTTAGCCTCTTGGAGGCCACCAGTGCATTACCTTTGTCCTAAATACACTAATTTTTATACATACCTTGGAATCAAGCTTCTCCATATCACATTAATTGAGCAGTACCCTGAGATCACTAGGCAAGCTGTTTAAGAGCTATTACTATTCGTAACTACATTTCTTTTTTTCTTTTTCTTTTTTTTTTTTTAAGATTTTATTTATTTATTATTTGACAGAGAGAGAGACAGCGAAAGAGGGAACACAAGCAGGAGGTGTGGGAGAGGGAGAAGCAGGCTTCCTGCCGAGCAGGGAGCCCGATGCGGGGCTCGATCCCAGGACCCTGGGATCATGACCTGAGCCGAAGGCAGACGCTTAACGACTGAGCCACCCAGGCGCCCCTGTACCTACATTTCTGTATGAATCAGGATTTCCTTGATTGTATACATGAAGAAAAACAAACCATGAAAGCAACAAAATGAATTCTGGGACTCATATAATAGCCAGATCTTATTTCACGTGAACTTATGACTTGTATTAATTGACTTTAGATGGAGTAAATGTTGTAAATTTGTGCTCGGGTAACAGCATTATTTTATTGGTTTAAAATTTTTAATATAAACTTGCAATGTTAGAATAGGTACAGATTTACAGAAAAGTTGCAAAGATACTACAGAGAGTTCTCATATACCCGCACCCAGTTCCTCCCATCATTAACATGTTATGCCACTGGCGTCTACTTGTCACAACTCACGACTAAGAAACCAGTGTTAGTACACTGCTATTATCTAAACACACTTTATTTGCCTTTTACTAATTTTTCTACCAATGTCTTCTTTTCTGTCCTGGATCTCATCTAGGATACCGTATTGTATTTGTTTGTCGTGTCTCCTTAGTCTCTGGTCTGTGACAGTTTCTCAGACTTTCCTTATTCTCGTGACCTTTACACTTCTTCCTGCACTGGTCAGGTATGTTGTAAAATGCCTCTCCATTTGGGAGAGGAGGTGCTGTTGGCTGTTTCCTACCTGATATTTTCCTCATGGTTAAGCTAGGGTTATAGGCTTGGGGGAAGAATACCAGAGGGAAGTGCTCTAATCACATATTGAAAGTAGGTGTAAACTGTATGTTTTATACATTGGACTTTCAGGTACATTTTTATTTCAAGAGGAAAGTCCCACTGATGCATAACAATTAGAAAACCAGTGGGTCAGACCATCCTTTATGTTCTCTTTGCCTTACAGTCTTGGTGGTACAGTGTTGTGATGATCAGTGATGCTGAGGCATCTATCTTAATCAGGCCCATTTTCAAAACAGAAAGGTCACCACTCAAGGGAGATTTAGTTCGGAAGAAGCTAATGGCCTCTCAAGTAAATGCTTCCTAAATGAGAGGGGAAAACGTGGGATTAGGACAAGAAATGTATCAATTACTTCCTAGGCAACTGTGTTTTCTAACGGGAACCCCTTCCACTCGGCATCTGCAAATCCCCCAGCCTGTTTGGGGGATTTATTTTAAAACTCTATTGACAAATTGAACCCTAATGGTAAAAAGTTCCCAAAGTGAGAGTAACTCCCATTTCCAAGGCACCCAGGAGCTACTGAGTCCTGCCTGTGAGGAGAATACAACAGCCTCCACAGGAGGATGTCTGGTCTTCGGGAGATGTTGGTGGGCCAGACGCTCCTGAGGCCAGAGATTTCTAAAATGACCTCCTCTTGATATAGTGATGCCAATCACCTTATCAAGAAGTTAGAATGAACAAAGGCTTTCCAGAACGGTGTCCTGTGTTTGGAAGTGCTAGCGAGGGTGGTTTTGTTTTTGGACCTTGCACATCTTTTAAATGTAGTGCAAAAGTACCGCTGATGTAACACTTATAAGCGGAATCTAATTCAGTGGTTTTTAACGAGCGCTGATTATGTCCCCCAGGGAACATGGCAATGCCTGGAGATGTTTTTGGGTCAGAGCTAGAGGAGGTGCTGTTGGCTGTTTCCTACCTCCTGCTAACCCTCCAGGGCAGGCGATGGCCCTCCAAGCCCACCCCAGGTGTCGCTTTGCCATACGTGTAGGCACTGCTCTTTGCAATGGCCTCAGGAGACATGGCCCACACATTTCCATTCATCCTCCTTCATTTCACCCTCTCTGAAGCTTCGACTCCTGTAGACATGTTGGTACCTTTCAGTGGCGTGTCCTTTCCTGGGAATGTTTCTAAGAGCAGGTGGCCTCCTTCTGGGGCCCTGAAGCAGGCCTCGTCCCTGTGGCCACAGCAGAAGCCAATCTCCATGGGATTCCAGCTCAGCAAGTGGCCGAAATGCAGTCTTTCCTTGGTCCTACAACGTCTGCCATGCACCCACCATCCTTTTTTCCTTCCAAGACAGACACCTGTGTTTTGGGAACTGTGTGTCCAGACATGCTGTTTCCTCCCCAAATTTCCAAAGTCTGTCTGACTTCTCTGAGCTTGAACCATGTTGAACGTGCCTGACTTCCCATCTGAAACGTTCAGTCTTAAACCATTATCTCCCCTGTGGCTCTGATTTTTTTTCCCCCCTACCAATTACTTCCTCACACTCTGATATGCGAGTCCAAGGGCCAGTACTGACCACACTAAGTTGCTTGTCCACACCCATGCCTAGCAGTTTGGCCCTTAGAGTGAGGATGAGTTTGTGCTCCTAGCTCAGCCCTCAGGAAGAGCTTAAATCCGAGCTGCAGCTGAGAACTCTCCACCTGCGCGAGGCTGGTGTGTCATCTCTTTGAGATATGATGACATTTGTGTCTTCATAGCCCTTGAGCACTGTGCTCTAGAGTGTGGGCAGCAGGCCGGTGAATCCTGGTCTCTGCCAAGTATTAGCTGGCCGTGACCTTGAGCAGGTCGCTTCAGGTCTCTGATTTCCACTGTTAAAACTCCTTCAGGGTCAGGCTGTTGTGAAGAAGCAGGGAAAGGGTGCTGGGTACTAGCCCAGGACCCCAGAGGCTGTGGTTACTTCATGGTGACAGCAACCACAAACCGCACGCTGAACCAACACCGTGGGCTCTGTCTGTCCAGACCCTTTCATATTCCTCTTACTGTGTTTCTGAAAGCTCACACATGCAGCTTTCCACCCTTCCCTGCTCACAGGGAGCCTGGAGGGCCTGAGAATGTACTTGGCCGGCCAGCCCTTCACCAGTGACTGTGCTGGGGGGCATGACAGCCCAGCTCTGTGGTGTACTTTACGCCCAGATGCCCTGCAGGGCGCTCGCCTGCCTTGCTCCCTACCTCATGCTTTGTCCTGAGAGCGCTTCCTTAAGAAATCACTTGCATCTGAGTGTTCCCCATCTCCCAGACACCCAGGGCTCCTGGGGAACCCTGTGGTGGAAGAGGCTGAGCATTCCCTTAGGGCCAGGTGGTGATCGCAGCTGGTGGAAGGCTGCTTCTGCCCTGGGGCCACTTAGAACCCCAGATTTCCCACCGGAAGGACAGCTAACGTCTACGCTCTGTCTTCCACTCCTGGTCCAGATAATTGACTTTCACCATTAATTCAGTTAATGGTCTGAGTCATCACTGTTCTTAAACGTGCTTCAGCTGTCACTCCCCTGAGAATTTTCCACAGACCGGTTTATCCTGCTCTCGTGTCCCAGCCTCAAGGTATATCCCTGGCTTTTCCCAGCCACTTTCTCTTGGAATGTCCCCCAAGAAGTCCAGATTCTTCTCACTTTCCACTTCAAGCTTATGCAGCTCTTCTCTTATTATTATGCAGCTCCTACACTAAACCCCAGGCCTCACCCTGGAGATTCCCAGCAGGTCCTTCACTTAATAATACCCTGCATTCATTTGCAAGCAGTTGTGGTTATAAATAGAAATCCCCCTCCTTATAAACATCTGTTATGTAAAATAGTTCATATATAATTATAAATGCAATTTCCCATAACTGGGTATATGCCACAGTTAATATGTCACTTTTCTCTTGATAAGATGGCACATCCTTGTCTGTACTGACAGGGAACGGTGTCTATCACATTCATTTTGAGGGCCACAGAGTACCCCATTACACAGATACACTCATAATTGACCTACCCTGACTGTTCATCAGTGGAGGAGTGATAACTTTATTTTGGGGCTATTGCAAATAATGCTTCAGTCCAGGGGCGCCTGGGTGGCCTGCTTCTCCCTCTCCCTCTGTTGCTGCCCCTGTTTGTGCGCGCGCTCTCTCTCTCAGATAAATAAATCTTCAAAAAAAATGCTTCAGTCTTGTATCTTTTCTCACTGGTAGGAATTTATCATACAGATATATTTATACAAATGCAATTGCTAGGTCAAAGGGACCACATTTTTATAACATTGCCAGATTGCCCTTCCAAAAGATTATACCAGTATGTTCACAAAAGATACACTTTCAGAGTCATCTCACAGACACTGGCTCAGGTAGGGGTAAAACTACCCCCATTTCACAGGGGACATGACTGTTCATGTCTGAAGCAAATTCTTCCTCCTTCCCTACCCACCTTATATCATTGACTGCTTTGGACTCTGTTCTTAATTTGTGTATTTTGTTTTCTGCTTTTAGAGTGATACATTGATAACCCCAGTTGTAGGATTTATAGACCACAACTTCCAGGCCCAGCCTAATCCCGCTGAAGTTAAAAGTGTGTTCCTGGTGCCTCTGGAATATTTCCTGCATCCACATGTCTACCACCAGCGTTACCTGACACATTATGGTCATCATGTTATTATTCATTGCTTTGAGTACACAGACCCTGGAGATGGTGTCACTTACCAGATCAAGGGAATAACTGCAAAACTTGCCCTGTTCCTTGCCTTAATTATTTTGGGGGAAAATCCCATTTTTGAAATGGAGTTTAATCTCAATGATCTGATTTCATCCTCTGAAGAGATCTTCCTGAAACTAAATAAGCATGCTACAAGCAAGTTATGATTTATGAGACCACCATCCAAATAGCTAAGAGGATTTCGTGTGTGCTTATCCGTAAGAACAACAGTAACACAAGCTGTCGGCAATTGACAGGTGCGACTATTTTTCCTGCAATATGAAGGTAAAAAACCTTGCCTTTTTCCCACTTGCTCTGTATTACCTGAGAGAGCAAAAGTCTTTCAAAAGTGGAAAAATGTGTTCATAGTGTTGCATAATTTCACCCACAGCATGTTATTTTTTTGTACACATGTATCCGGCACATAGTAGGCACTTAATAAATATTTGTTGAATATATGACCATGTGGCATTTATTTTATCTGTGAGAGGTAGTATCTCTGTCTATTGTTATTCTAGAAACTTCCGGCCAGCCATCAGAATCTATCCACCTTCTCCTCCCTGGCAGTAGAGTTGAAGCAAAGCTCCTAGCTCCCCAGTAAGAAATGGCATTACCCTGGATTCCTTGCAGTTAAATGTGGCTCTGAAACTTAATTTGGGCCAATGGGATGTGAGTGAAAGTTGACCTTGCGGGTCATCTCCAATTGAAGAGATAAGCCAGCTTCCTTGGACTCTCTTTCCCCTTTCCAGGAGCTGCAACATGGATTTACCTGCAATCCAGCCTTGGCCATACAAATGAGGACAATTCCTGGGGGGATGCAGAACCCAAAGGGGGTAAGAGTTTGGATCTCTAAATGCCTCCCTGGAGTAAAGCAACCTGCCACCCAGCGCTGTTCACTTGGGCCTATTACGTGAGAGAATAAAATTCTGTCATTTTTCTGCCACTGTTACTTGGGGTCATTTTGTTAGAGCAGAGCTATGACCCTAAGTAATATACCATAACACTTGAAAATGGCTAGATGGATATTCACTCAAACTTGAAGTGTTGCCAGCAGTTAGAATTTGGGATGATCTGACCTTTAACACATGGGTTCTGTGACATACACAAGACGCCCACGGGTGTTGGCAGGTCTAGCAGTCATCGTCCAGAGCAACTGAACTGAAGGAATTTAAGAGGCCCATATGCCCACCAATCGGAAGAGATAATGTTCTCTGTCTTAAGATGACGAAAGCAGAAAAACACTGGTTTTGAGCACAAGCCCCAAATGAAAAGTCAAAAAGATAAACATTCTCAATTGCATTCCTTGAGATCTACCACTTCTTACGTGGGCATTTCCATATGTCGTGCTTTGAGTTAGCAGGAATTTCTTCATTTAATTATAGTATTAATCATCCTGCACGAGGTCAGGGAGATCAGTGCATAAAACAACATAACCTTAAGTCCGTGAGGGCAATTTCCTATCTTACTGACTGCTACAAGAGTTTTAGAAAGCCGAGCCAGTTTTAGGAAGATTCTGGTATAGCTGAAAATGTGATGGCCACACCAAACCCATTCAGTCAGCCATGCAACTGCCCACTGCTTCAGAGTTTTTCTTTTCTGAGAGCTGGCAGAGGAAAAATGCCTGATCTGCTTTATACCCATAAACATGGAAATGGCACAAATCTGGCTCCAACCTTGAAAGCAGATGTTGGGTAAGCTTCTCCATTAACATTCAGTAACTGGCCCTGCATGAACAGGCCTAAACTGTTTCGCAGCAATTACAGAGGCATTTGCAAATGTGTATTTACAATCTGACAGCAGTGTAATTGCCTGGTAGATTGTTGACCCCTCTGGCAGTGCAGAAAGCCGCCTTTCCGAACTGTTTGTTTTGTGAACTCCTCAGATCTGCCTGGTTTCTAAGGTGCGTTGGCCCAGCCGACGTCTATAGTCTGAATGACACTCGAGGCCACCCAATTTAAGGGGCTAAATATTTAGCAATGGGGGTAGTGCCTCCCCCTGCCCTTTTTTGGGGGGGGGTGTTATTTTCTGTCTTTTCTGTATTTTAGGACATCTATGTTCAGGGTTCCAGTTAAACATCCTTTGCTTAAAAGGAACGGAAGTCTAGCAAATCTGGCTCAAATGAAAGAAGTTACTGGCAGGGTACAGATCTCAGGGAATCCGCAAAATCACTGAACAAATCAGCCTCAAGATGCACAGCAATGGGGAAGGAGCAGGCCAGCTAGCTACCTCAAAAGCAAGAAGTTGTAAACCTTCCCTTTTTCATCCTGTCATTATTGGGGCAAGAGCCATCCGTTTGGGTTGATTGATATAGGCATGGAAAAGGAACAGCAACTCAGTGTGTCAGTCTCCAGGTCCTTGGAGGAAGCTTCATTTGGCCTAGCTTGGGTCACTTGGCAGGTAACCTGTGGATATGGTCAAGGGCGGGGGTCGGGACCACAAATGCCCAGAGTCAGCAGGGTGTGGGGAGGATCATTTCTGAAGAAAGTGGGCTAGGCGAACATCCCAAAACATTTACTGTCTCTAAAATCCATCCCTAAAGTCTGTAGATTGTGCCATCCAGACAGCTCAGCTCTAGCTCAGCTGGGTCTCCTTCTTTGCCTCCCTGCAGCCTCGGTAGGCAGGTGCTTAAGAGCCGTGGGTCTGGGTGCCTGGGTGGCTCAGTTGGTTAAGCGACTGCCTTCGGCTCAGCTCATGATCCTGGAGTCCCAGGATCGAGTCCCGTATCGGGCTCCCTGCTCAGCAGGGAGTCTGCTTCTCCCTCTGACCTTCTTCCCTCTCATACT